TAACATTTTAAATCAAGTGTCATTTAAAATAGAACAAATTTTGCGAACAATCGTTTTTAATGTGTCGAACAAATGCATGAGTCAATTAAATTCAAACAAATAAATTGTTAGTTGAATAAATTGAGGAATGAATATTTGTGACAATAAAAAGTAAAACGGCGTTCCATAGTAAATGTTAAATCAGCAAAACCTGATGACAAATCGGATTTTGTTGTCGGTTGTCACTTAATGTAAATGGAACATCAAGAGATGTTGACTCCGTACTCTTCGTAGTGTCAGGTTTATTTGGAACCGATTCCTTTACACGACTGAGTTTGAATTATTTGTTATTTTGTTTCTCTGTAGATGTATAAGTTTCCATAATAAATACGAATTGAAAGTTTTACAAAAATTTTATTTTGTTTGAGAATGTAATGTAGCTGCATATTTTAACTTCTTCTTTTCGCGTAACTTTCGATAATCCGCTCTGGACAATTTTATCTTTTTTTCCATAATCAATGAAATCGATAAACTGTTTATCCGTCTTAGAAGACTACTACTACTGCCACGAGTGCCACGCCGAGATACAATCAATTTCTAATCTCAAAATGATTAAATTCACATTAGACAGCGAGCGATATGGGATTCACAAATGCTCGAGATCGAGATATTGAAAGCGAATGTTGCCACGTTTATCGGTTTTCCGTGTTATATACCCAACAATATATTTGTGAAATATATAAAACCGAAAGGACGCTAAGAACAACATTTTGCGAAGGGCGGGGGCATACTACCCCTTTGCCACCCTCCGCGTGGCGCCCCCACTGGTTGAGCCCCCTCAACGACAAATGGAGCAATACACTATTGCCTTTTTATCATGAAGTACACAAAATGATACCTTATCACTTGATTTTTGTCCCGTTCGAAAGTACAGAGGGGGGACTATTCAAGTCCCCACTGTATAATGTTGAGAATGGCCTATTCGTTGAATTGATTTTGAGGGACGGAAATCATAGCCTGCACTACGTTTTGAACTAATTCCAGTTGAGGAGGATCAATTTTGTCCAATATTTTTTTAATTGTTTGAAGATTTAAATATCGGACCCACTTGAAGGATCCAGTGCCGTGTTTACGACAGTTTCTTACATTATCTTTAATATGTGATGACGGCATGCAAGCCAAAGCTTATCCAGTCTCCACTCCAGTGTTGTACCATACACAGCCGACGCACATGCTTCTCCTGTTCCACAGTCCAGTTTTGGGACCGCCAGCAGCTGATCAACTCCTTGCCCTGACAACAAAATAGGAAGACGATCCACAGTTCCATGCCCAATGATATCTTCTATCAGCTTTCCGTCCCAGTGAACAGTCAAAGACAAATTAGAAGTGAATTTACGTTTTCAACGACTCCGCCATCTCTTTCCGATACTTTTGACGTTGGACGACCTGTTTACAGTTTTTTTTTGTACCTTAGGAGCTGTCTGACTTGTCCGTTCAGTCCAAGTCTCCAGAAAACACTGCAGCGTCTGGGGCTTATTGCGTTCATTCTTCCATCCCCTCACGATAACCATTCCATCAGTCTCGTTCCCTGTACTAGTTTGTACAGGTTCCGTGTTGGATGTTCGTCATATTCTTCTGGGCGTAATTTTCTACTTCCATATATTGCCTGCCGCCTGTGATTCAGTGCCTCACATTCGCATAAGATGTGTAGAGCTGTTTCTATTCCTTCGTTGCATAGTCTGCAGCTAAGGTCTCCATTCTACAGCCTCATTTTATTCAGGTGTCCTCTATGATGACCGGTTAGTAACCCTGTAATTATTCTGAGCCGATCCCTACTATATTGAAGTAGTTCTTCGGTTATTTTCTCGGACGGTTCCCCAATGAAGGTTCTACTGTGTTTGTTACCAGGTACTTTTGTCCAGTACTCTGTGTGCTTCTTATTGGTCCATGTCCTAATCTGGTTCCGTACCAATGATTTTTGTACCCCCAGAGCTGGTTGATGATCCGCGTCTAGCGCATTCATCAGCTTTATCATTACCTGTGATTCCTGAATGCCCTGGCACCCAGTATAAAGGTAATGTGATCCTGTTTGCAAGTTCATTCAGTTCTTCATGGCATTCCCAGACCAGTTTTCATGTTACCTTCGGGTTTGTCAGAGCCCCTAGTGCGCTCTTGCTGTCTGTAAAAATATTGATCCGCTCATTTCTTTGAGGTCTCAATTTATTGAGCCTTGCACACTGCAAGATAGCATACACTTCCGCCTGAAAGACAGATATGTATAGTCCTAGCGGATATATGTTGTTCAGATTTCTATCCGCTCGGTATATTCCAGCCCCCGTTCCATGTTTGGTCGTCAATCCATCTGTATACCAGATGTTTTTTCCAAACATGTTTGCGGGATGACTAATGGTCTTCCACTCTTCACGGCTTATGATTTTGGCCGTGAAGTTTGTGTTAAAGGTGTACTTCGGTGTCATGTGGTCCGTGCACATATAATTATTATGTGTACTCTTCAATTGTTTATTGACTATTTCACTTTGATATTTTTCAAAGTATGATACAAAATAATTATTATTACCTTTTTACATTGCAGCTTCAATATAGACTTTGTTGCGAGGGATTCCTTCTGGACGGTGGTGATAGGTCTATCGATACATTTTGTAGCAAACTCCAGCATCAATCAAGGATGTACTCAAAAGTTCCTCGCCGTTGCCAAATTGAACGACTGCAACAAGTGAGTGAATCAAATTTCTCAACTGATGAAGTATTTATTTTTTGCAAAAAATATTCACTAGATTTTGAAAAAATGCTTGATCGCTTGGAATATTTTGGAAACTGTGACAGAAAATTACTTCTATTCTCTCTACCAAATGAATTTCCATCAGAGTATATACAAGGTCTGTTAAAAAAATAAAGTAGATTTTAATTTTACTCAAAAAATATTTATCAGTTCATCAATTTATGTTTTGTTCCATTGAAGAAGGTGTACAAAGTGTAATACTGTCAAGTATATTGTATAAGTTAGAAAATGTCCTCATAGGACAAAACTGCAGTAATATTAGTTACAAATGAAAGTCGTTAAAAACAGAAAGTTTCATTTTCCTACAACGTAGTAACGGCTACATCCATCAATTTATTGAACAAACTTTCTTTCACATATCATTTGGACATATATTTTTTATAAACATATTTATCAGATTTAGACAGATCTACTTCAAAGATATAACAAGGTATTACAAGGTATGCAAATTAAATTATAGGTCCATTACTGTCACATCCTGCTTTTCTAAGGTTTTTGAATATTCTTATCTCCAAAGACTTATGAATTTTGCATTAAGTCATAGCGTCTTCTCATATAACCAATATGGTTTCTTGCCAGGACGCTCAACTCGTAGTGCGGTGTTGTCATTTTATGAAAAATTGATCAAAGCAATCGAATCAGGTGAGTGCCCTGTTGGGATCTTCTGTGATCTCAACTGGGCATTTGACTGCGTTCAGCATGAGGTACTCTTGTCTAAATTGCACAAATATGGTATTCGTGGAGTGTCACTCTACTGGATACGGTGTTTCTTGACCCAAAGAAAACAGTTTTTTAGTATATCTTCCACTGAATCTGCATATCAAAATATCTCTATAGGCGTTTCCCAAAGCTCTGTTCTGAGGCCAATTTTATTTTTATTCTACACGAATGACATGGGTAATATCGAATTTTTACCAGGTTTATTAGATATGCAGATGACACCAATATATTTGTCTCTGACAAATGTGAAAATGCCTTGAAACAAAAGTGTACAAAGTGTAATACTGTCAAGTATATTGTATAAGTTAGAAAATGTCCTCATAGGATGAAACTGCAGTAATATTAGTTACAAATGAAAGTCGTTGAAAACAGAAAGTTTCATTTTCCTACAACGTAGTAACGGCTACATCCATCAATTTATTGAACAAACTTTTTTTCACATATCATTTCCGAACATTTCCGGTGTATTATAATTGAAATTGTAAATGAATTTCATGATTTTTTCTAATTCTTATTTGATTTGATTTGGATATATATTTTTTATAAACATATTTATCAGATTCAGACAGATATAGTTCAAAGATATAACAAGGTATTACAAGGTATGCAAATTCAATAATATTTTCCAGATGGTGTTGTCATACTTTGAAGGGGTTATTGAAACTAACATGATCGAATGGTAATTTTCAAAATGAGAGCTAACCTTTCAAAGTATTTTCTTGAAATATTTTTTACTATTTCTAGATTGTATCCAGTTCTTTTGAGAAGCACCGCTTAAAAAAATTTTTTGTCACAATCTATTCATTCTACATCTGAAAAAATCAATATTCCACTGAAGAGAGTTGCCAGTATCGATTATATTTTGAATTTTTCTAATATATCTTCATTTCAGGACCGTAATATTCTACTTTTTGGGGATGATTGTTGTCAAATCTCTGTGTGTTTTGACTGGTCTCAATATATATGCAAAATACTTCCAGTGTGATCCGTTATCATCTCAGAAAATCCATAAAAACGATGAGATATTACCATATTATGTATTGGAAGTTGGTGGTACTATACCTGGATTATCGGGATTGTTTATTGCTGGAGTATTTTGTGCTTCCTTGAGGTAATACTATTTGAAATTTTTTTGTTGTTGTATTGTATTGATGATATCATCTGTTATTATTAGTCTATTCTAACGTTCACTACTGTGAATTGCATGATTTCAAGCTGATTTTGAAGTTAAATTTCGATATCCATTCTATCGAAAAATTTCATTATTTCATGTTTGACTAGCTTTTTTATCTGCCAATATGAATATTTCAAAAATAATATCATGTTACGGGCTTTCTCCTGACAATAACGTATTTCAAATGGTATGATGTGACGTCATTTCATTTGCTATATTCGATTTTGTACATTCACAATGTTGATTTTCATCCAAACGAACTGTTTCGTACGTTGATTAGTTTTGAGACTAGATGATACTTTGTCAAGGGATTTTTTGATGCACTGGCAGTTTATAGATATTGAGATAAACGTGATTGTGGCGTTACAAAATTGACTTTCACTTGAAAATTATAAAAAGTAATCAATGCAGTTCATTGTTTTTAGTAAAACCCTATACAGAGTTTCACTAAAAACCGCGACACGTGTTTCGCTATACACTAGCTTCCTCAAGCGTGAACTAAAAGTTACCTCTAAATTACAACTATTTTATACTCTAACATATTACCTACTTGTATGCCTACTTTCTAATGAATGAATTTACCCGAGAAGGTCAGGTATGAATTTGTTAACTATATGAATACATTCTTCGAAAGTACCGTAAGTATTTTTACCTGGCAATAAACAGATTCAATAATGGTGAATTATTCCATTCAGGTTGATCGTTCATAAGATATTTAGAGTTTTTGAATTTGTTTATTTCCATACTCTCCAACAGGTTAAGTTTCAAACCTTTCTTCTGGAAATGAATGAAGGGGCTTGAACTCATGTCCTTCTGTAATTAAATGAGTTGCATATGTGGAATTCATTTTCCCATTCTGTAAACTACTTCTGTGATCCTTGATGCGAGCTTTGAACGTTCTTCCAGATTGACCTATAAAAAACATCAGACATGACCCACGTGATAATTTATACACTCTCGATTTTTCTGAAACTGAACTATCATCTTTGTTAATCTTAATGTGCATGCCTAAGTTGTTGTTGGTTTTGCAAGTAATATTCACACCTTTGTTGTGCAGAAATTATGAGTTGGCCGAAGTAGGTTAAGGTTCTATAACTTTTATCCTCTTCTCTGTGAATTGGGTAAACTTCATTCAAAACTTGGCTGTATAACTTGTTTGATAATAAAGAATATATTAGACTACTATTGTTAAACATTGTTGACGCCTATTTGTTTTATAATGTTCAGTTCTTTATTGAAATTCGCTTCTGACAAGGGCACATTTATAAGTCTGTGGATCATACTGTTGAAAGCTGCTACTTTGTGCTGATACGGGTGGGTGGACGAACTATGAATGATAATCTGTATGTGCTGGCTGACGATAAATTGAAAAATCATGTTTGTTGTTAACTTTTGTTACTGTCAAGTCAAAAAAATTTATAGAGTCGTCCTTTTCTATCTTCATTGTGGATGTAATAGAAGGGTTTCGAAAATTTATGAAATTCAAAAACTTAGTCAACTGTCCGTTCGTTCCTGTGAAACATATCAGGATATGAATTTCATCAGTCCGGACTTCTATTGTCTGATATTATATACAATGGTTTGAAATCTCTGAAAGAACTAAAAAGAAGAGTTAAAAATTAAAGAAGGAGAATAAAAATGAATAGCTGAAAAAACAATTATATTAAGCAAAAAACCTGAAATTAAATAATAGTGAAATAATATACGAGTGAAAATGGAACAAATTGAACAAAAATTAAAATAAAATCAAAAAGTTAAGAGATTTTAAGCCAAGTTACTTCACAACGTTTCGATTGTTAGTATCCACAATCGTCTTTGGGTGATGACGACTGGACTGATTCATCCGTGAGCTGACTATTTATAGGTATTTGAGTACCTACTTTTACTTATCTCTGTTTTACTTTTTCCGCTTCACTGGTTTAGTGGGAGATGACCGTTTGGTGGCAATTGCTAGATTATGGGTTTCCATATGTTGTGTATCTCTACGCTAGCTTGGCTGAATACATTGTTGGATAACATGTATGCGGCTTCTTTGAATTTCCTCCTAAACCAATGTTCCTCTTTGTGTATGATCTCAGCTTGGGACCATTCGAAGTTATGTTGATGGGTCCAAACATGATCTGCTATTCCTGATTTGCTGGTTTTCCCCCGCTGTGTGTGTTTTTTGTGTTCGGCAATGCGAACATTCAATGGATTCTTAGTTTCACCAATATAGAATTTTCCGCACTTACAGTGTATCCGGTAAATGCAATTCTTGGAGTCGCAGTTCTCGTTTGGTGGCCTGGTTTTCGTGTGGCTGCTACGGATAGTTATTCTTTCTGATATAAATGGGTGGGGTCATTTTTGATACTATCGTATATACCAGCATTTAGAACGTCTATAATCTTCTCTACATATTCTTCTTTGTTCATGGTTATGACCATTTTGCCTTTATCAGCTCCCCTGGAAACCCACACAAATATTTCAACCCACTACAAATATTTAAAATTTTCTGCACAACAAACGTGTAACTATTGCTTTCAAAACCAACAACAACTCAGGCATGCACATTAAGATGGAAGTTTAGTTTCATAAAAATCGGGAGTGTATAAATTATCATGTACTTCTTGAAACGCAGTGGAATCATATTGGAAAATTCTGACTATCATGAGACGTTCTAGAAATAATAAAGTAATTGAAATCATTGACTTTGATTTTTCGGCTCTGGTATCTTTATTATACGAAATATGAGGAAAAATTGAGAAATTTTTTATTGAAGTTCATGGAGGCTACAATATGTACACATTTCATTTTTCATATGGCGTTTCGTTCACTCAGGGACACCATCATGTAGGGAAACCTACGTAGAGAAACGCGCCTTAAATAAAATTCATTATGAAAATAGTATAAATAATATCATGGATAGTACTCGTACATAATTAATTTTATAACTAAACAAGAACAAATCGAAGCTTATAGCTTTGACAGAATATGGAACTTCAATGTTTTTCCACTGGACCTTTTGTATGCTAGAAGTGATTGAAACAGTAGCATCCGTGCGTGAATGCTGCTACTAGATTTTTTCATGTTCACAATTTTTGAATGGCTGTATCTTCGAAATCATGAATAAATTTAGTTCAAAGCCATATAAGAATTTTTATCATTTAGAGAGAACAGTACTTTGAAAATAAATCTGGTGAAGGAATTCGCGAATGGGGCGATTGTGCACGAATATGATAAAATCAAATTGAAAGGTTCAATCTGAAAAGTGGTTACGATATAATACGACATGATTTCTTAGGATGAATATTTCAGTTCGACAATTTTTAAAGCTGGGGTCTCAATGATATACGTTTTTTAACAGTACAGTAATAGGATTATTGATCAACTTTCAGAGGCTGACATTTGTTATTTTGAGTTATTTTATTTCAGCACGTTGTCTGGTAGCCTCAATTGTTTAGCGGGTACAATATATGAAGACTTCCTAAAAATGTCTCTGGAGAGAAAAGGTTTTTCAAATGCTTCTGCATTGAAAATATTGGTTGTTATTATTGGAACTTTGGGCACTCTGATGGTATATATTGTAGAACATCTTGGTGGCCTCCTAGCTCTAGCAATCGGACTCGGAAGTGTAGCACATGGGCCTCTTCTAGGAATATTCACTCTGGGTGTACTTTTTCCTAGAGCCAATGCCAAAGTGAGTTTAATAGAAATAAGATGATTTTTTTTTGATATGTTCAAAAAACTTAGAGATCTGAAAGAATTACAATTTTCAAATGAATAATTTCTGACAATTTTTTTTGCTTCATATTTTTCCATCACCATGGAGAACTTTCGAAGATAGGTGAAGAAAAAAATGTAACATATCTTCACGATGTGTAGATGAAGGACAAAAGCTCCTTTCGGACATAAACTGGAAAAAAATCAATTTTACTCACCTGTAATATTAAAATACATGCTGCACGATGTATTTAGGGTACTCAATTGGATTCGGATTATTACTGTATTGCTCAAAATCGCTTCGAGAATGAGCCATTATTTCTCGAAGATAGTAGTTGAAAAATGTTTTCCTGAATCTTGATACTTTTTATGAAAAAAACCTTTCGTAAATTTTCGGCTAGTCGGTGGATGGACCCAATACTTGTGAAATTTCTGATGACGTTTTCTTTTACTGCTTCTTAGTATTGAACAACAACACATACAACTTTCTTGAAATACATCTTTAAACTGAAAATTGTGACCGGTTTCGCGGTTTTCAACCGTAGTATGTGCGTTTCAGACAGTTTTGCGGTTTGGAGGTTTACCGCTTGAGGAAAAAACCCGCCTGAAACGCACACACTACAGTTGAAAACTGCGAAACTGGCCACGATTTTCAGTTTGAATATGGATTCCAAGAGATGTATGTGTTGTTGCTCTAATACTAAGAAGCAGAAAAAATTTCGCAAATATTGGATCCATCCACCGACTGGCCAAAGATTTAAGAACGGTTGTTTTCATTGAAAGTATCAAGATTTAGGAAAAATCCCTGGAAAATTCTTTAACTACTATCAGATTTCAGTATCCAGTTTCGTCGAAATTTTGCAAATAATACGTCCACACATTACCTACATGAATACAACATTTCGCTCATGATTTCACCAGAAGAGCGGCGACTCTTTATGACGGTGTGCCGAATAATGACAGAACCGCCCGCGATTGCCGCGTCAAATGTGTGCACTCCAATATAAGTTCTAGGAACTACAAATTTTGGCTGGTTTTTTCCCGCTAGTCATTTTGTAATAAGTCGCGGTTTCAAAATCAGTGGCGGGAAAAAAACGTCAGTGCAGATGCTTCCATTAGTTTCCTTTACTCACAAAATTTCAGTGTTTATAAGAAACAAATAGTTGATTATCTCTTCGAAAATACAATTACACTCTGTATCTGTAGAGTAGGGTGGGTGAGTGTAGACTTACAGCAGTTGGACCACATCCTCCCGAAGAGTTGTCCTCCTAAGGACATCGTCCATTCTGTTCTTCACAGGAAGCTGAACAGGTCACTAGGAGACATCTCATTTATATTGGCAGGTGAAGGCCAAGACTCGCCGAAAACACACTCTCTTTGGCAACCTTGAGGTGTTTCACGGTGGCCTCCGCCAAGATTTTGAAAGATGTAGCAACATTACTGTCGTTGTGCGGCTTCTTCAACCTTCTTGGGGTTCTCTCCGTGGAGGTGCACAAGTGAGAATCTTTCCTGCAGGGTCAGCCGGTTCCTTGCCTTTATTCAAGGCGGAGCTCTTGACGCCCTCCGCAGGAAGTCCCTTTGCCGTTGGAGGTGGAGTGGTGGAGAAGGAGGGTGCACTTATAGTTGCTGCCACTCCTGCCTCCTTAGCTCTCTTTCTCATTTTGGCCCCTTCGCCCCAAATGCGCTTACGCCTCATCACGAGGTGATCTGCTATGTCCAGCCTCATTCTAAGCGGTAGATTGGGGTGGACATTTCTGTTCATCGCCAGCCACCGCCTTAGATTGAAGAGAGCCCTTCTGTCTAGCCTCGGGATTGGTTTTTGTAGCAAGTAACAAGGATAGAGTTGACAGAGCTGCGCATTACCAGAGATAGGTTGATTACAATGAGGTTTCGCCCAATTCCCCAAGAGGATCGTTCGTGACCGCATATCACCTTGCGGCCATTCAGTTGCCGGCACGATTCCTTACACCTCCGCTTGGGTAGGCTGGTCCACGGTGGCATATTTTGCAAAGGCTTTTGGGGGGGTTTTAGTTCCCCTCACCCAACTTATTTCTGACACTGACCAGGAGTCCGGCGACCCCGTCTGTTAGGCCACATTGGCTTCCCGGACAGGACCTTCAGTCCCCTCCCCAATCCGCTACCTGGGGACGCGCCCGATAGGTAGCCCAACCCACGGGTACAGTTACACTCACTACAGGTTGTGAACATCCTAAGGTTATATTTGTTTATTCACCGTTCGAATAAATTGTAATTATAGTTTGTATATTTTTCGTTGCTCAGGTCCTATTCTCGAAACCCCAATACATTCTTGAGGACGCGCCAGCTTTATCAACCAATTAATCGCTCCCCATACCGTGGAATGAGGGATCATTGGGTCCAAAAATCATGTGCCCTGAGCAAGCGCATTGAGCCAAGTTCGATAGCCTTCTGCATTTGTCCGGTTAAGATTTCTGACTTGCTGCGGCAAGTCGGCATTACCTCAAGATTCGAGAGTAGACATATCATCATTCCACCATGGACAAATATGGTCATGCCCTGATGGTCGAGAGAAACTACATCAGGCTCATTAGCTGAGGCTAAAAAAATGTATAGTTCCCCTTCACGAATTCAAAACTCCCCAGAGTGTAGGGCAACATCGGTGTCTCATCAATACCGTAAAAGTGCTGTAGGTGATAATAAAACACTCCTAGAGACACGTTATGTCAATGGATATAGGTCTGACCTTCACGTTCTTCAGTAAGTGCTAAGACCGCACTTGCTCTCGACCTGAAGGAAGCGAAGGTCGGCGCTTTGATTTGCCGAAGTCTTCAATGCTATTGGAGAAGACCCCATGCATTAGCTCATCTTAGTGTTGCCGTAGGAGTGAAGTGATCTATGTGGCTTCCATATGAGCTTTTTGCTGAATGGGTTCCAACTTGGTGACAGAGTTGTGGTCACCTAGTTCAGTATCGAAAACTAAACCGAGTTCATCAGCCGCTGGAGCAGCTGCCTTTATCTCATGGTCGCGGACCATGCAGAGAAGAGGAATCCAAAGTTCACTTCCATTTCATCATCATTATCATTTCACAAACTTTTATCGCGTATGTCAATCAGCTGAAACTTATGAGGCACAACTCTTCTGAAATATATGACTATCAAATTATTGAGTTCATTGTATTCAAAATTGAATGTTTCTATGGTAAAATAATGTTCTTTCCAAATCCTAATAATATAGTTTGTATTGATTCTCACCATGGAGGTTTGCAAAACAGCGACACGTTCCGCTATACAATAGCTTCTTTATGGTAGAAATCATGGAGTCATATATTACTGACTTTTGACATCAATTTCAATCAAATGTTGATCAGTTTCATTCGATATTTATTTTAATATTGCTTCATTACAGGGTGCACTAATTGGAGCCATCGTCAGCGCGATATGTATGGCTACTATAATAGGTGGAAACAGTTATTATAAAGCGAATGGTTTATTGCGGTATCCACATAAACCAGTGTCTGTCGAAGAATGTGATTTTTCTGGAAATACTACTTCATTCTCCAGGTAATAGTCTTTGATAGATGCACACTCAGATACATGAAAACTGAAACAAACTCCTTTTGAACATTGAAAGTCGTAAACCACCATATCCTGAAATATTTGAAAAGCTTCAACATCTTGAGCGATCATCAGTATTACTTTCGGAAACAAAAATCACGCCGACATTTTTTTGTGTGCCATCCATATTTGGAATAACGCAATCGAGAAACATGGAAAATCAAGAGCTGTTGAGGTTGGTATTTCTAAGGCCTTTGACCGTGTGCGGCATGAGGGTTTGCTGGCCAAACTTCCATGCTATGACTTGTCAGATCATTTTTGTGTGTCGCACTCCAGCTTCCCGAGAGAACGTTCCCTGTTGTTGCTGTTGACGAATATATCTCAAATACTTTCACCATATACGCTGGTACCTATATTGTCTCCAACCATATTTCTATTTTATATCAACGACTCATTGAAAAAAAACAAGAATCCAATATATTGCTTTGCTGATGGCAGCACACTTGTCTCGTCATTCCATTTGGATTCCAGGACATCGACTGCGGATACACATCTTCACCGGCAGCAGGAGGTTGCATATTTTAATGAGGATCTAGTGGTGAATTCGAATTGGGGTAAAAGTAAAATTGGTTCAATTTAATGCCACAAAATCCCAGGCATCGGTTTTCTCCAAGGAGATAAATATCTCCGAACCGGATATAATAATGCCAGGTCAGACGATTCTGCTTTTAGCTTCGATAAGTTTGTTGGGGGCGCTGGAATTGCAAAGGCTGCTTCTCAAAAGCTTGTAACACTGTTCCGAACCAGAAAACTTCACATACTTCATCAAATGTTGATGCTTCATAAAGCTCAGATAAAGCGACAGACTGTGGCTGCTCATCGTGACGAGGATCGACTCAGTACACCTCGAACTTCACTGTTAAAAACTGTCTCATCTGGAGAACTGCATTTATGTGGGATAAACTTCCTGAGAGAGTTTTTCCAAATGGATTTAATCTACAGCGAATCAAATTCGATGTGAATCGCTACTTTCGCACAGGCACCGCTCTGAGAGCGCCTCAAGGATTTTT